ATAATGGTAGATTGTAATTCCAGAATTTAAAAAAATTTATCTGCAAATCTTTTCAGAAACAGGTTATATAAAAATTTTGTAAGTTAAACAAATGTAACTTAGACTTTCCAAACAATATGTTTTTAATAAAATCATTAAAATTAATATTAAGCTGTGTAGCAAGAGCTGCAAAATGTGTCTGATAAAGCAAGGTGGGCCTGCTTGGTTGCGGTGGGGGAGGGGGCTCTTGCCCTGTGGGAAGGGTCTGGGGCAATTCCAGTGAAAGGGCCTGTCACTATCTCATTCAGAATCTTTACATCATTTCTTTTTCTTTGTTATTTGGCATCTCCTAATCAAAATTGTTATTGAGAAGCATATTTGGGTTTTTAAAGTAAATTTATAGCAAAGCAAAAAAAATAAATAAATAAAGTTACTTTGGTATTCTTCCAACACCATAGAGAAGATAGAAGTGTTTTTAATAAAAGGATGGTTATCCTCAACCAGTTGTCAGACTTCTTGATAGTAACTGCCACCCAAAATTAACCAAAATCTATATTTGAGGATTTTATTTGGAATTTAAGAAATTTTACGATTATTCCAGAACAACTGACTTCTAAGTTGCCGTGTAGAGAGAAATTCAGGGTTGACAGGAACCCAGAGGGAAAAGCAAAACAGAAAACTTGCTGGAAAGGCAGGCTGGTGCCCCAAGCCATTTTGCAACACAGATTCAAGATCTTGATTTCCTGGCCACCTGATTGTTGTGGGGGGTCTGCAGCTGTTGCGGGGTCCAAAAGCAAAGATAGAAGTTCTGGATGAGATTTTAACCCAACAGAATTACAGTTGGGTATAAGTCGGTAAACATGTCAGGCTGTTGACATGGATATGAAAGATGAATTGCTTTTAAACTTTATACCTTATTTCCTCCATATTCCTCTAAAGAAAAACAACTTCATCTGTTTTCTAGAGTGGGGAAATGATCTAATTGTTTCACAGCTCTTTATGAGTTTATATTATTTATGGGTTTGTATTGTTTCAGATGTTAATTGGCTGACATCAGTCACTGTAGTCAAGAATGGAGTTTTCTGAAAATTGCCTTGTAACATTGGCTCATACTGTTCCCTCAATGTATTTATTATAATAAGGGAAATAGCACAGCCCCTTCAGGAAAGGCAGAATTTGGAACTTATAAACAGGATGTTCTAGAATTGAAGATCTTAAGTGTAAAAATTTGCTGATGGTTTGCTTATTTTGGAGCAAGAAAGCAAAGCAAAAGTGTGTACTTCTGACTAACACACGCAATTTGTTCTTTTCTTTAAAAGGATGTGGGACCTCAAAGAAAAACCCTCGTGAGTTACGTGATGGCATGCAGCATTGGAAACATCACTATCCAGGATCTTAAAGATCCTGTTCAAATCAAAATCAAACACACCAGAACTCAGGTAAGAAAATGCTACAAATAATGGCCAAACAGTATAAGCTATCTCAGAGAAATGTAAATGATTAAAAGCAAATGGGACATTTTATGAGAGGTACATCAGTCTTCTCGAAGGGAGACCTGCTAGTCAAACAGGCAGCCCTGGACAGGCCCCGTGAATGGCAGTGGCCACCAGGGAGCTGGTGATCAGCTTGCCTGATGATCAAAAGTCAGAAGAAACCGGAAATGACCAAGAAGACACTGTTCCTAAGAAGGGGCTTGACCTGCTGTGAATACAGAGGACGCAGATACAGTTCACCTTTTTGCCTTTAGAAGTTTTGTTTATGTTTTTAAAGCCAAAGATAATTGCAACTAGGAAAGCCCAAGGGAACACAAGAGAGCTTGGACTTGTTCTTTAAGAGATTAGCCATCACTTACAGTCTCGGCAAGTGTTATACTTCTCACTTTGAGACCCTTGATGGCATTCGTTTATTTGCTACAGCTAGATAAGTGTGCTTACAAAAGACCCTTTCCAGTTGTGGTCCTGGGATAGCCAGGCGGGACTAACAGCAGAAGACTGGACTTGAGACTTTGAAGAAACACCTTTCCTTGTCAAGAACCTTTCAAGACCTCCTTGGTTTTTGTTTTGGTTGTATTTTCCAAACTTTATAAAGGTGCACTGTATTTCTTTCCAATGTAAAACACACTTAGTAGAATTTACCATTTTTAGGTATGTAGTTCCACAGCATGGAGTATGCTGACAGTGGACACCATCCATTGCCACTGGTTTTTATCTTTCCCAGTTGAAATTCTCTCCCTACTAAACATAGATTCCCTGTTCTTGACTTCCAGCAACTTCTGGAAGCCTCCATTCTTTCCACTTTCCTGCAGTACTAATTTGATTCCTCCAGTTACCCCAGAGACGTGGAATCATACAGCATTTATTCTTTGGAACAGGCTTGTTTCACTGAACATGATGCCTCCAGGATCCAACTGTGTTGTAGTGTGTGCCAGATATGCCTTCTTTTTAATATACCGGATGGTATTCCATTATAGATATATAACAAATACTATTTATCCACTCATTCACCAATGGTCACTTGTGTTGCTTCTATTTTGAGGGCTACTTTGTGTGAATAACATAATATGACTGTGGGTATTCAAGTGTCTCCTGAGGTCCTGCTGTTACTTTATTTCTATATATCTAGACACACAGGAGAAATTTTAAGAAGATATGAAAGATCATTTAAAAACTTTGCTAAACATGAAGAATGGCGGCAAATTTTAAGAATGGCATATATGGAGCTCACCTTACAGGAAAAACGAGCATATGATGCCTCCTGAGGGTCTAGTTGACTTTCACTAGAAGTCTCCAGGAGGGACGATCCGCCCAGGCTGCTGACATATTCAGGTGGCGCTGGCTTGTCTGATGCTGATAGATTGGTTTCTTTGTGAAACCCTTGACATTTTCATTCTTTTGTCATATTTCATGTTTATTCTTATGTTGATACAGGAAGTGAATCATCCCATCTGTGCCTTCTGGGATCTGAACAAAAACAGTAAGTTTTAAAATACTGGTGGTCTTAATATTTAAAATTTTAAATATTAGAATATATTAGAATTTTAAATATTGCTGGGCATTCCCTTTTCCCTTCGTTCTACCTAAGCCACAATGTAGGACCAACTGAGCTGCAAAGCACAGTTCAGAGAGCTTGGGAAATCACATCTCATTTTTATTACTTTTGTCACTGCAAGAAAAAATAAGCTTATTAAGACTCATTGCTTTAATGAATCAACCTCTTTGATTTCAATTATTTGTGCAACATGGCATATATTTTTATTATAGCTGCTTTTAGCTCAACATAGGCAATACTTGAACTCAGTTCTATTCTTTTAGACATCAGAGATTATTTGATATGCCCAAGGCCTACAATCCGAAACCCAACTCTGAGATCTCAAATTATGATGTAGGTGAAGGAAGATTAACATAGGAAGGGCTACAGGGACATGGATTACTTGAAAGAAGTTAATGGCCTGCAAAATCACTCTGTGCAATCATACAGGAAGGCAAAATAAACAGTGCATTGGATATAAGGTGTAGACACGAGTGTAAAGGTGTGTGAGATGAAACCTCATGTGTCTGTACCCTAAGGGTCACTTTCATTAAGCTCCTTCAGGGGCACTGTTTCCACTAAATCCGTTCCACTCTGTGCAGGCTACCTTGATGATAAAAAATAGAGTTCAAATATTAACAAAACCCTTTTTTAAATCAGTTCTTGTTACAGCTGGACAGTTTTGTTGTTGTTTGTGCTTAGCTGAATAATTTTGAGATCCTGATTTACTCATCTACATGGTCAAAAGCATCACCTTGTGCCTTAGCATATCATTCAAATAAGTGCATGTGTATTATGCCATAAAAGCCAGATGAGACTCATCCAAGGCATTTGTCTTGTTATGACTACTGTGTATATCAGAGAAGGTTCTGAGAAAGCAGATATTCTCTGTTCTTATATCTTTGCAAAGCTGTAGTCTGATCCTAGAGGGAAAAAGTATGTTGGCCTTCAGAGAGCGCACTAGCATATATATGAAAAGGAGTCTTCTTTATAGAAGTTTATCTTAAAATGTGTTAAAAATTCAATCTGATCACTGGCAGAAATGTCAGTGAAATGTGGTTTGAAACCACTGACTAGATAACTTTGAACTAATGTTCAAGGATTCCATGAATCTAAATTATTTTACATCTTAGTAGCTATAACAATGGTGCTCTTATAAGCTCTGTAAGGCAGAAGAAAGGCTCATCCCCTGCTGAGGACTCCGACCTCCCACTCTTTGTTGATTCCTCCTGCAGAAAGTTTCGGAGGATGGAACACCTCAGGATGCATTGCACACACAGACTCAGAAGCCGGTGAGACCATCTGCCTCTGTAATCACTTTACTCATTTCGGAGTCTTGATGGTAAGCTTTTCTCAGCTCATTTTGACATGATGTAATTTTACAAGGCACAATTCTTTTATGTGAACCCATGTCTTAAAATTATACTTCTTGGGAATTATTTCCTAATCATGCCATCTGTACCCTGAATCCTGATTCTCTAAGATGCATCCAATGATCAGAGATCGTCTATTTAAAACGTGAAAGTATCATAGTAAATAACTCTGCCTTGTTTCCTTTGTAGCACAATCAACGATGATAAATAATTCCAGAACCAGGAAAATCCCCATGACACCTTTTAATTAAGAGAGAACCAATGGGGGACCAGAGCAATGGCTCAGCAGTGGGCTGCTCTTGCAGAGGACCTGGGTTCAATTCCAGCACCCATGTGGTTGCTAACAATGTAACTCCAGTTCCAGGAGATCCAACACCCTCTTCTGACCTCCACAGGCATTGTCAACATAGGTGCACTTACACACATGTAGGCAATACACTCATACAAGTAAAATAAAAATAATAAAACAGTTTTAAAAATAAGAATCAATAGGACAGAGAGACAGAAAAGAGAGAAAGAAGAAGAAAATGTATGTTTCTAACATGGATGAGAGCTATGAATAGTTGATCAAGATTTTTCTTCCTTTTGTTTTAATGTAATATGCTTGACTATTGCTTTGTATTGTGTCTTGGGCCAAGTGATTTTTTTGGCTGAAGAGTTCAGTGTTCAGTCTATTAAGACAACTAAAACCTTGAGGAAGTGACTTCAGTCCTGCAAGAGAGATAATGGGTGTGAGGTTTCTCTCACCTTGCAGATTTGAATCATACTTTCTATTCTTCCTTTCTCCCATCTTACAATTTTGCCTTTAAAAAAATCTCATAGGCCAGCACACTCAAGAGTTTCCACAACACTTGATCACATCAGTGTTTTTGTTTTATTCCATTTAATTTTTAAGACCCACCTCACACCCAAGGGCCTGTTTGAGCTCACCCACCGATGAATACCTTTCGTCTAGCACACTTGTGTTTTATAAATACTCCTCTAGTATCCACAGTATCTAGACTGTACCATAACCAATGTTTGCATAGTTTCCATGAAGGGATCAACCACATTTGTTTCTTCATAGACGATGAGAGTAATGGGAGTTGAAGCAACACAGTTTTTCCAGTTGGAATCACAGACATGAGGTTGTATTTATCCCCTCCCTTTAACTTACTCCCTTCTTCCTGTGGGGACTGGGAGGAAGCAGGGAGGAACTTGGGATGTAGCATTTGGCTCATAAACTACTTGGCCTATGTAAATGGCCATTGTCATCTGACAACTCTGCAAGTTGTAATTTTCCTGACAACCCAGGATATCAATGATCTGCGCAATAAGAACAAGTCACTGACAAGGTTATGAATCACAGAAAGTAACTTTTAATGTTCTCAAAATATAAATATTTTTTCTTACAGTTCATGAAAATGAACAGTTAAACTGTGGTGTTTGTTATATAATTTAAAAGAAATTAATAATTTAAAAAGAAATTAATATTTTTTCCATCTTCTCTTTAAAAGGGACTGAAGGTATCATTTCGGAAAATACTTAGCACAATTAATCATTTAACTATATGAGTCTTAACTCATTTAAATGCTTGTGTGAATATATATTTGAAAATGATTTTGAGTTGTAAGTCCAATAGTTAGATTAATAGATATTAGTAAAAAAATTGGCCTTCTCAGTGATGATTTATGTGCTGCCAGATTTTACCTGCCCTTCACCCTGATGACCAGTTTTTTATGTGCTTTATTATGGGTTTATAACTATGCATTACATTTTCTGTTGCTCTTTGATTAAATAGTTAATTTTACATATATGGAAATACTCCTGGTAGAACTGTCCTTTTTTTTCCACTTTGGCTGCTTTTGTAAGAGTATAGATGCTGGAAGAACCTTTCCAAAATTCATCCTTTCTGGCAATGTTTTCATATCCTTTCAGCTCTTCCAGACTACCGACACTTTACTCAGAGTTTTTTCTTGATTTACAAACTCTTGAGTCTAAATTTTCCCATGACACATTCACCCATATCTTTTAATCTATAAATGTGAAAAGAATTTAATGTCCTTTCTTATATTTCTCTGTAATAAAACTGACTTCCATATTTTTTACATTAGAGCATTTTCATATTGGCTAGTTTAGAGAGATACATATTTTCATTTTATTATTCTCAAAACAGCACAATATTGTATGAGAATTGTGAATAAATGGGTATCAGTGTACATGACTACTTATTTTTTTTCTTAATATCTGGATTTAATTGCCAAGTCATTTGCCTTACCTAGTTGGAGACTGTTTTTTGAGGAGTCATTACCCTTGGAGATCCCTCAACACTGTGCTTAACTTCTCTGCTCTGGGAGACCCTGCAGCAACTGTATCAGATAGGCACATCTCTGGAATCTAGTGATACTGACTCATTCTCCACCCTGTGTGCCATGGGCCGTGTCTTCCCTGTAGTCGTAACTGCATCAGTTGTACCTAGAACTGAATCCCATTTCTTCATTTCACATATATGTGCACAAACAGAAACCCATTTCTGTAAGCCTATAGGAAAATAGCAGATTTCTTGCATTGGATAAAAATTACAGAAAATTGACATATAAAAGGAAAAGTTTTCCTATAAGACTGAAATGTTTAAACTTTATGTTCAATAAATCCCTTCCTTCATTTTTAACCCATACATATTGGAAGTGAATTTTTTTCTCCCACCAGAACTGGGTGATTGGTCTCACCTCAGGATTTATCCCTACCCCAATCCTGTATTTAAAGAGGAATAGAAATATTTTCCTACCAGGTTCAAAATTTGCCTGTCTGCCTCAGTGTGCTGGATAGCTTCAGTTGTCACCTTGACACACCTGGGAAGAGGGACCCTCAACTGAGGCATTACCTCCATTGGACTGGCCTGTGGCCATGTCTATGCGACATTTTCTTAATTATTGAGTGAATTGGGCAGGCCCAGCCCACTGTGAGTGGTGTCACCACTAGGCAGGTGGCCCTGGGTTGTATAAGAAGGCAGACTGAGCACAGGCCAGGAGAGGAAGGCAGCGCTGCTCCATTGTCTGTGCTTCAGTTCCTGCTTTTAGGTTTTCTCCCTGAGTCCTGGTCTGACTTCCCTCAAAGATGTACTGACACTTAGAAGTGTAAGACACCATAAGTTCTTTCCTCCCCAGGTTGTTTTGGTCAGTATTTTATCAGAGCAATAGAAAGCAAATTCAGACACTTAGCATGCTAGAATTAATGCTTCATGCTGGTATACTGAAATAGTGACTTTTTCTACTCCACAAACCCCTAGTACTTTACACCAATTCACATCTATAAAGATTTAAAAAGCTAGACACCCCCCCAACTTTCAGTGGCTTTCTTTTATGAAAAAAAATCACTTTATACATACATACTATGCTTTGAAATGCCAATAGGAACATTGTCATACTTTAGAATCAGACAATCATGTTAAGTTCTGGCCATTCCTTGGTTAAGCACCTCTCACCTATGGAGGAGGAATCAAGGGACCCAGATGTTGGCCATGTGTGCATGGTGGCCTCCGTTTGTTTCCATACCTCTAGCCCTGCAGAAATAGGTGTAACTATTAAATTATCACACAAAGCAATTGAATCCTCTGCAGTTTCTGTTGATGGACCGAGTGGTTTCACTTTTCTGGTTATGCTAGGGTGTACAGAGCTTAGATAAGGAGGTAGTGATTGAAAATGTATATATCCCTTCCTACAAGAATGCTGCTTTCTTTTCCTGTATTGACTCTCATGAGTACAGTAAATGGCTGTTTCAGTTTGATGGGCATTGTTGGTTTTAACCCCTGAGACTGAACTGCTCTGATGTTAACAGTGACTTTTCTAGCGACACAAAGGGCCCTTGTCGAGGAAGAGGAAATCTTATAGCTGCTCCCCATGTTTTTCAGGACCTTCCCAGAAGCGCCTCACAAATAGATGGAAGGAACACAAAAGTCCTCACTTTCATCACCTATATCGGGTGTGGAATATCCGCTATTTTCTCAGCAGCAACTCTCCTGACATACATTGCTTTTGAGTAAGTATTTTTCTATCTGCCAAGCCCATTGCAAATGTGAATGTGAAACTTGCTTTAGCTTTTCAAAAGTTACTCAGTTTATGAATCACACTGGGTGACTCACTTAATGTTCAGGCTTCTCATAAAAACATACAGCATTGATTTTCCAGCTATAGAATTTTAATTTATAATTACTATATTCCTATTTACAAAGTAGATTCAAATCTCTTAGTGATCATGAACATTTAAGTAAATGAAAATGGCATGAAGTACTTTCTACATTGTAAAAGATGAAGACATTTCTTTCAGAAAAAATTCATCAAAGTGTTCCTCAAACATGAAATTTTTTAAAGGGCGATCTGTAAATTATTTAAAATATCAAGAAATATCAAGCAATTCTAGGGACAGTGGTTTTTAAATTAAAATGTTGGGGCTTGAGAGATGGCTTAGTAGTTAAGAGCTTCTTGATCTAGCAGAGGACCTGAGTTTGGTTCCTGGCACCCACACAGGGAGACTCTCCCGTAACCCCATCTCCAAGAGATCTGATCCCCTCTTCTGGTCTCCACAGGTATCCAGATGAAGATGTGCACAAACACACACACACACACACACACACACACACACACACACACACAAATAAAAAGAAGTCATTAAAATAAATAAAACAAAAATATTATATTGGAACTTTTCTAAACTAAAAACATCTGTGAGCACTCAGGAGACTCAGACTCAAGATAGTCTGGGCTATATAGTGAATTACAGGCCATCCTGAGCTGTGGTGGGAGAGTCTATATCAAAAACAAACAAACAAACAAATATGGAATCTGTAAAAACCAGTTTGGAATTTCACAAACAACTAAAATCTTGAAATGAAAACAACATTTAAAAACTCCTAGTAACCTGTTGAACACTCATAAGTATCTTAAGCCCTCCACGTAGCAGAGCCATGCCATGTACATGGAGTGACCTGCTGCAAAGCTAGAGAAAACTTACACTGACTTCTGTGCTCAAGACACCTGTGTGCAGTCTTTCTTCTTGTATACGTTTCTAACTTCTTAGGAAACTACGCAGAGATTATCCCTCCAAAATCCTGATGAACTTGAGTTCAGCGCTGCTCTTCCTGAACCTCATCTTCCTCCTGGATGGCTGGATCACTTCCTTTGATGTGGCTGCACTCTGCACCGCTGTCGCTGCCCTGCTGCACTTCTTCCTCCTGGCCACCTTCACCTGGATGGGGCTGGAAGCAATCCACATGTACATTGCTCTTGTGAAAGTCTTTAATACTTACATCCACCGGTATATTCTAAAATTCTGCATCATTGGCTGGGGTAAGCTTCCCCAAAACCCTTTCCTATGCATTGAATAATTAAGACATGTTACAAAACTGAGCAACACGGACTAGATATGAATACCTCGAGGAAGGGACATCCTTATCGTTATATTTTTTTAAAAAGTGCTCCACTGGCACTCACGAATTCAGGAGTAAATGAAAAGCCTAGGCTCCTGAGTCACGACAACCTCATTTCTTGAGCCCAGAGACAGCCCACCCAAGGCTGAAGAAGCAGCTGGCAGCCCATTATGCAGCCAAATAAAAGGCCAGTTAAGACTCATAGCTTTACTCATCCCTGCTGCGGATGCCAGGGAAGGAATGTTATTTTTCTGTGTGCAACCTAGACATTTAGAGAATTCTTCACTTGAGCTACTAACCATGAGTCTTTGGTCAGACATAAACCGGCCATGGTAAACTTTCAGGAATCTTCTCATTGAACAGCTTTCTTTATTTGGGTTTCCTGTCAGATGAGGCATCTTAAAACTTCATCACAAATCTTTTTCAAATGGCACTATAGGAGCCTGAGACATTCACAAGTTTTCCACATCCCCTTTGGAGTCAACAAAAGGATCTTTCAGGGAACTGAGGAGGCATACATTGACTCACTGAATTAGACATAGGAATAATACTGATTCTCTGGAGACTAATGACTATAAAGGTGTTATATCCCGAAGTTTACCCCTGTTTTTCTGGTCTTTGATTCATATATGTAAAAGAAAAGACAAAACAAGTTGCAATCACCTAAGCTTCCTGGACTAACTCTGTTGGTCTAATGGAGCATCATTAATGCAGCCACACTAGTTGGTGTTACATTGAGAAGAATCCAGTTCTGGCTCTTTAGTAAGTATCACTAAGTCAACAGAATGCTTAGTATTTTATCATTAGAGATAACCTACTTGTAGGTTTCATTAGAGAGTAGGTTTAACCTACTTGTAGGCTTGTAATTTACCAATTACAGTCAGATGTTGCACACCAGTGAGGGAATTTTGTTGATTATAACAAAGTTACCCATTCTAAGAACATTGAGTCTATCCTATGGAGGGTTTTCTTTTTCTTCCTCACAATTATGAATCCCACAAAGCAGTCCCAGTGTCTTCAGAACAGTCATCAATGTCCTGGTCTTTTTGTAACAGGTTTGCCAGCCTTGGTAGTATCAATTATTCTAGCAAGCAGAAAACAAAATGGAGTATATGGGAAAGAAAGTTATGGGAAAGAGCAAGATGATCAATTGTAAGTAATACACATTTGTGATCGGATATGTACTTTGTTTCTTAGTAAGCTACCATGGTGATAATGATGCTCTGATCTTAAAGGATTTAGTTCATCTGTGAGCGTCAGTTTCTGCTAGGATAGATTGATCATTTCAGTACTCTGAGATGTTTGACCCACTTTTATATTATATATATTGTAACATTGTTCCATATCATTTGGAGAATTCAGAAGCCTGAGATATTCCCTTCTAGACTCAGAAGACCCATTCTATTTGAGGAGATTCTGTAATAATCCCATCTCCTCAGCCCACATACATCTCTGCAAAGGAGTTAAGTGGCAGTATCAGACAGTGAATGATCCATTGCCAGTATGAGTGTGCTGGATAGGTTTGGTTGTCAACTAGAGACACCTTGGTTGAGAGGGCCTCAATTGAGGAATTTCCTCCATTGGATTAGCCTGTGGCCATATCTGAGGGGCATTTTCTTGATGGTTGAATTTTATAATTCCATAGGTCTCTCAAAAATCTCTTAGAAGATTTCTTCTTTTTATTATTTTGTAAAATAGTGTCAACACAGTCACTCCTTGAAACAAGACAACAAAACTGAATGCTGAAAATTCTTACTCTCAGAGTAAATCACACAAGAGAAAGGGGGGTTAGAGGTGGTTTAAAGTCAGCCAAGCAAGCATGTGCTCATACCAAGTCAGAATTCAATAAGTCACCTTGTTTGTTCTTTAATGATGACTTAAATAACTAGATATTAAGGTAGAAGCCATCCAAAACTAACTAAACAAGAAAACCACCTATGAAATGATCAAAGAAGAAACTGAGGTCTGAGGAAGTGAGCTGATTTCCCAAGGTGTTGCAGAAAAGTCTACAAGCCATCCAAACTAGGCCAAGGCAGGTCATGAGTAAACAGAGCGTGCTAGTAAAACCCTTTTACTTGTCTTGTTTCTTTCCCTTTAAGCTGCTGGATTCAGGATCCTGTGGTGTTTTATGTGACCTGTGCTGGGTACTTTGGAGTCATGTTCTTCCTGAATGTTGCCATGTTCATTGTGGTCATGGTACAGATCTGTGGGAGGAATGGAAAGAGAAGCAACAGGACCCTGAGAGAAGAGATTTTAAGGAACCTGCGCAGTGTGGTCAGCCTGACCTTCCTGCTGGGCATGACGTGGGGTTTTGCTTTCTTTGCCTGGGGACCCTTAAATATCCCTTTCATGTACCTCTTCTCCATCTTCAATTCATTACAAGGTAAGATAAAGGGTACCTGAACAGTGGTTGCTTTCTAATTTTGCCATATTTTCAAACAGCTTCCCTTTGGATAAATGAGATATCAAGTTTCTATCACTATTCCAGGTGCTGAGCATGTTTCCAGGCACAGGTGGACAGTCATTAAAAAGCTATTGAATAGGTAAAGAGGTAGAATGACAGTTTGCTTTTCTTTCTTTAGTAACATAAACTTCTCATAAGAGTGCCTCGTAAGTATTCAGTACTCAATAAGCATAGTATTACATAAAAAGATATGGAGCAGTGTGAGGTGTTAGCTTGGAGCCTAAAAGGAAATTTAAAAGGGGGATAGTATCCATTTTCCAGTTCAGCACACTGTTGCTCTTTGCCGAAACTTGCTATTAGTAAGTTTGCTGTGTATGGTCAGAATCAGTTCACCTTGCTTCTTTAGCTCCTGGGGTTTCAACATGCAATCCAACTCTTTTTATGAGATACAGAAATTAATTCAGCCTATCAAATGTACCAATGCCCTGTTTTGTTTTATAATTTTGATTTAATAACACATGCTCTAGTGTCCTCTAAATGGATTTATGTCAGTTGTGTTTTGAAATTTAAATAACATTATTTTCTTTGTGATGCTGAGGATTAAACTTAGACTTCACGTTAGGCCTTTGAGCTACGTTCACAACCTTTCAATAGTATTCCTTAAGACACTGTATGCAGTCTATTTTGTTGACAAAATTCCCTAATGTACAAAAGCACCATAAGGTCACTATACCAAAAGAAATTAAACAGCAGTCTGAACATCTTGTGTGTGTGTGTGTGTGTGTGTGTGTGTGTGTGTGTCTGCGCGTGCACGCACGTACGTGTGTGTGTGTGTGTGTGTGTGTGTGTGTGTGCGCGCGCGCGCACGCACGTGCATGCATACATGCATGTTTAGCCCCAACTAGCCTCTGCCTCCCATGCCTACTTCGGCCACCTGAGTTGTGGGTGTGCACCATTACAACCCACAGAACCTGGAACCGTTTCATTCACAACGCTATTGGTGGCTTTCCTGCAGCTACTCTACAGGTCATGGGTGTAGGGAAGAAAAAGAACTAAATCTGAGCAAAGCTGAGCTGGGGCAGAAGGCAGCTTTGTGCGACCCAGAAATCAGGCGCCTCCTTCTCCTTGTGTGCTCTCTGTTGCCATGTTCTAATGAAAGTCAGTGCTTACCTGCAGGAAAGTATCATTCACTACTTGTGACCCTACATCCTCTGCTAACTTACGAACTGAAAAAAGGTCATAAGGTAGATTATCAGACTGTTGAATGACTGGATTGTTGGATGAGGGAAAGGAGAGGCCTTGGGCACAGCCTAAATCAAATCTGAGATGCTTCCAGCACAAATACTCATTAATTAATTCTGCTCACTCTCTCATAACAGACAAAATATGCAGGCTTGTTATCATTTGTAGTAGACTAATAAGCCTCAAGTATATGTCCATAAGTTGGAAGCTGACCACAGCACATACGAATACATCCGCAATTGGGATCCAGCTCTGTAAAGTTAATATTCATCTACTTAATCTTTTCTATAATATTCTACATAAAAGTGCCTAAGTAAATATTGACAAACCTGTCCACTCGCATTAGAAATTCCATGGTTTTATATTTCAGGGCTGTACATGAAAGACACAGTGATCTGCCAGCCTAAACTTGGTTTGCTGTTAGAATTTCCTGGCAGTGTCAGTAAGGTTCAGCAGCTACCGTTGTCTGTGCAGCTCTGTTTCCATTAATGAGAATTGGGTTATTTTATTTTTCCCATCATGAGTCTCCTGTCAGGAGGGAAAAATATTGTCAACCATCGTCAAGTCAGTGTTCTTCATAAATCACTGACTTTTAAGATTGGTTTTAAATTATACAAATTCAGAACAGATTTCTGCACATCCCATGATATTAAAAACACCTCCTAAAACAAAAATTTAAAATCAGAGGCAGTGATACTGAGGACTACAGACAATTGCTATGCCAGTCAAGCTGTACAAAATCTGCTTGGAATGCTATGGAAAGTTAATTAGTGGCATATATTGTTGAGTTACTTTCTGAACCTTCTATGAGAGACTTTGTCGTAAGATATTTGTGCTTTATTAAAAGAAGCTTGTAGAACCTGGCATGGTGATACATGTGTGCAATACCAGAGTTCAGGAGGTGGAGACAGTGAGTTCAAGATCAGCCTCAGTTACATGAAGAGACCCTGTTTCAAAACAGAGGTGGAGGAATTATATGGCTTTTAGACGGTGATTGGATCAAACCATACTGTATCTTTGTTTTTCTTTCTGACTCTTCTCATTTCAGCAAACAAGAATTTCCTTGGTTCTTTTGCCTCATAGAGCTTATACTAGATGAGACTGATGTTCACTAAATGCATCACTGTGTAAGCAGCACTCTGAAGTGTAGGGAACATATGAGGGATGCCTACACTAAACTTGGAAGGATCAGTAGCAAGCAACCAGGGAAAGAGTGGGAAGGAAAGTGGGAACAATATTTCAGGTAGAGGGTACTTTACAAGAGCAGTAGAAAGTCCTTGGAAGGGGTTAGGCTTGTGTTGTGACACGATTGAAGGTGCATTTTGTAAAGATGAGTGGCATAGTGAAGAGACTGCGCACAAAGAGAGCCAGAGGGGCTGTTGCTGGTCTGGGCTAAGATAGTCAAGTATGTTATAATAGACAGTGTTGGGATGGGAGCCGAAGAGATGTGATCAAAAGAAACTTAGGACATGTGCTTCCAAAAAACTCTTATTTTCTAGGATTAGGGTATGGGCTATCTTGTTACTATAGTGTTATAGTAAATGGATGTCGATCTTTATATAACAGTAATGGCTACATGTTTAGAATGTGACAGAATATTCTGAAAATTAAGGCTATACTAACCATATTTTAATCTGCTATATTTATGATGTAGTTAAGCATCTAAAACTAGGTAGATAATTTGTAGGAATGCCCAAGGCATTCCATGTGAGGCCCTTGGGAGTAGAGTCCACTGCAATGTCAGGAGGTTTTTATCTTTTGATTTTTTTTCACATTTATTTCTCTAAAATTTGATTCAAACCTGTTTAAAGATCCATTTTATCTTTCAGGATTCCTGTATGTTGCTGTTATATGTACAAACATAAATACATGTATAATTATGTGAATATTCACTTAACTTTCTATAGTCTGAATATTAAAATTTTATATGTGCTTTATTTTTATGTTCATTTTAATAGATACTTTTATTTTTCATTTGAATATATTTTGTGTACACTCATAACTATCATTAGCAAGAATCACATTTACTGAATATCAACATTTACAATCTATGTGACTATAACTAAAATATGAGCAATTTAAATAAGTAAATGAAGTCATTAGTTGAATTAAAGCTGAAACTGATTTTGTGGTTGTGTTCTTTTATTCTTTCTATTTTTCTGGATTAAGGTATATGATAACCATTTCTCCAATTTTTTCCCAAAGACTGAAAGATAAATTAGCCTTTTTTAACATGATAGAATTACGTATCTAACTACTTTTTGCTATTTTTACTCCTTTCCTAAGTTTAAGGCATTAGATTAGTATAATAACATTTAAATTTTTTTCTAAAGGATGCACTTTCAGAACATTGCATGCAAAATGCTATGTAAAATAGAACAAATGTTTGACATAATTGCATCATAATTTGTGTGCCTGAGAGCATTAGACTATTTTAGTAGCACACTCTGAAGAGATGTAAACCACTTCCTCGTTGTTGATAAGATCGTGGCCAGGGTCTTGTTGGACAGCTACCTCTTGATGACATCATCAGTGCTCTTGCAGGGTTGAGTTGTTACCCAGGGATGCTGCAAGGGTACATGGCTGCTTGATACACAAGTGATTAGTGGTATCTGAGTCTGCATATTCTGTTTGTTATTTGTGTAGTGTTCAACACTATCCATTAGGTTAGCCTTCTCCAACATATAAAAGAGATTGCCTCTTCTAACAAGTTCATCAGGATGTAAAATTGAGCTCCATACCAAGAGCTTGGTCTTCAATTTTCCTTTTCCAGAAATGGGAAGCAGCATTGATTAATAGTGCAAGTACAGTCAGGGCATCTTATGTAGTGCATTTGTAAGATCATAACGTGATACATTGAAAGGTTCTACAAATAGAAGCTGTTGTGGCAAGTATAGGAGGACCTTACCAGTCTACTCAGAGAAGACTGCCATTAATTACCTTGATAGCATTAAGATACCCAGAGCAATAAAAATTATGCATATTTATGTAGTGAATGGGAGTTCATAAAGCACGTTCATTTAACATCTGTGATTTTACTGTCAATCTCACAAGTCTAAAAAAACATATGTTAGAAAAAGGATACAGTTTCCTTTTATAAGTAAGCAGGTGATCAGAAAAGTTAGTGACTCCCAAGATCAGTCTGACAATGAAATATTTAAAGTATATATGAACATTATAAAACAGAATAGTAGAGGACACAGTATGTAAAGTATAATTTTCATTAGAAACTAAGAACTAAAGTAAGTAACTGTCTCTTTGGTTTTTCATTTCAAACTTTTAAATTTAGAAAGTGAATATTTACTTCTACTTATTAAAATGGGATCAAAATACATTGTATGGGATTCTTGAAGGATCAAAAAATATTTTTAATGTTAGTAAATGTATATTTAATAAATGAATGATAATTTAATATCTTATTCAACAAAATTGATTTCAGGTACTATCATTAGTATTATAATCCTGCTAGCAAACTAAGAAAATGAAGTTAAACCGTGAGGTGCACTAAATTAAATGCCAGCTAAGTGTCCCTTGTCCTGTTAGGAGCCTCATGAAAGTTAAGCTGTTTCACAGTCACACACACACACACACGCACATACACACACAAGTCAAATTGATGCCAAGGCAAAGATGACCCACTTATCAACTCCAGACACCTGAAATGACACCACATTGCCTAAAACAGTATACACCGCAAGGAAAGAAATTACTCATCTTTTGGCAGGGCTTTTTATACC